TGTATAGATAAATAATCACAATAAGATCAATAACATGCATTTACAAAACAGATGGGCAAAATGGTCAATTTTCATTTCGCTCCGACTTATATTGTATGTGTGATTACATATGTACAGTATATTTTCTAAGTGTGTGTGTTGTACCTGGGCTTTCTTGCCATAGTATGGGTAGTACATAAGGTTGAAGGTGCCATTAGGGGGAAAGTACGCCAGTTCACCAAGTTTATCTGAGTCATCCGCCTACAGAGGGAGGAAGAGTTTATGAGTTCATCTCAGCATTTAATCTGAGGGTATCAACCTGTTCTAATACCAAAACTACTATTACTGAATTAAAGAAAATAAACAGAAAAACCAATCACCCTGTGAGATGATCTTATGCTGGAATTATCTAGCATATGATCTGACTGTATGAATAATCATTTTACCCTTTGCTGCTAAAACATGTCAATTTTAAAAGTTAATAAATATTAAGAATAATAGGTCAGTTTTTTATACATTTTCACATTTTTCTCTCACTGCAGAATGTCAAAGCTGTAATGCACATTATGAATTCTCTGCCTCTGTTAAAATGATTATTCTTCATTCTGTCTATTATTCTTACCCACTCATCATTGCCAACTTTGTATTTCTGACAAGAAGAATGGAGGGGGAGAACAGATGAGACACACACACACACACACACACACACACACACACACACACACACACAAAAAAAAACAATACAAATCAACCACATGGAACATAAACCGAGATGATGAGCAATGGTGTAAAACAATACAGATTGAACAAAACCTGAAACGACACTGAAAACAACAATTATATGACAACAGTACAGAACAAAGGAGGAGGAATGATGGGTTCATGATGAGAAAGAGCAAAATATATTGACAGGGGGAAAAAAAGGTGTGATGTTTAAAACAATTGGTGTGTACATTGCAATCGAAGTTAGAATTTGGATTGAGGAATGTATTTGCATGAGCCTGAATGGCGGTTGATATCCATTCAGAACCAACACAAACATACTTGATTCGGAGGGCACACACTATTGAGAAATCTCTAGGAAAGAGCAAGAAAAGCTTCCATTCTAATGCAACATAGATCAAAGTTTGCTTAGCGTGGGGTAACTAACCTACAGTATGAGAATACAAACAAGCAACAGTGTTATTGTTAACTGAAACTATTAAAATATGTTTTGTTAATTGAAATAAATCTGAAATAAACTATCAATATTAGATGAAAAACTTAAATAAAAATGAGAAATGTTGCCTTGACAACTAATATAAAAGTACTAAACTTTAAAGTACTAAAATGACTAAAAAACATAAATAAAAATGTAAGATAAATATAAATATTTTGAACTAATAAGCTATAACAGTTTTAACACCCGATTCACAAACGTCCAATTAATACCTGCTAAAATAAATGAGAAGCTAATAGCTCAGACATTCTCATGGAATATCGAAACAGTTGAGACTGAACCTTGCATGACTGAAAGATCATTCCTGAATACATTCAGACATTAAAATGGATGGGAAATACATAATTGTTACTTTAATGGTTCTCATTTCTCTCTGTTTATTTTTGCATGTGAATCAGCAGCAGATAGTCTGTCATTGCAGTTTTTCTCTGAAGCCGGCCACAGTTCTGATTACCGGCTAATTTAATCTGGTGACCTTGTTGAATGGCTCACGTAACTTTAATCTGAAATCAAGCCCCTTCTAAAAGACTGAAGGATAAGGAGAGTGAGAGTGTGGAAGACTGAGATACTTACCTTAGCACCACATGTGACATAAGGAGGCTGCCTGTCCCTAGCAGGCAACAAACCAATCACCTGCAAAAAAGAATAAACACAGAGAAAGAAGGATTTGAGATTGAAATGAGAGGGTGAGAAAAAGAAAGCAACCCAAAGATGGAAACAAAGGGGAAGAGACAGGTCAAGTTGGGTCTCATTAGAATGCTAAAGTAACTCTGATGAATTTTTAATTAGAAACATTCAGGCCGCTGTCTCTGATTCTGTGGTTTCAGGTCAAAGACTTCACTGACTGTTAAAGACTGTGGGGATTCAGTGACCTAAAATCAAACTATTTGCAATATAAAATGCATCAATTAGATGTTCCAAAGAATTCTGTCAGGGTTTCTCAGGAATACTTGATTCTGATTGGTCAAAGGCAGGATTGAGCAGTTCAATATTTTTGAGCAATAACTGTTAAACTGTAATTTGACCATTGCTTTTTTGGGATATTATTGGACATGTTTCTGACACAAACATTCGCTCCACACATATATTCTATTTCACGTCTTACACGGTTGAGCTTGATGAAGATGCAGGGCTTGCCCTCATCGTAACCATAGTAACGATCTGTGATCCCAGAGCAGTCCTCCAATATGGAGCGTTTGAACTGGCAGGAACGCTTGGGGAAGTTTTTCAAACTGCCACTGTCCTCCTGGATGAAGTACTGATCTGGTTTACACTCATAATTCTTCTGGGCTTGGACTGAGTCATTGTAGGCTGCATACAAGAAGCAACAGGACATGACCTTCTGTGAATGTCTTGCTAAATGGCATGCAGAATTTCAATAGCAAAATGACTGCAGCAGGTTCTGTGTAAATATGGTTGTTTGCATGGTATTTACGCGACAGGAAGTTATTGAGGGCTTGGACATATCTTTCCCATGTCTCTGTGTACTCCATGGTGTAAACGATCTCCAGCTGCTCTCCTTTAGGTCTGATCATCATCCCTGCAAAACAACAAATAAGAGAATGGGAAGACACAGAGTCTGCGAGTGTGTGTTTACATTCATTTTGCATTTAGTATGTTTGTGAGTATCAAAAATTATAATTAATAGCACAAACACTGCAATATCATTAAATTACAATTAATAAATGTCAAAAGGTGTCTGTAAGGGGTAACATTAGGGTGTAGTTGTTATAATTAGCTTAATTTAAGAACAATGTTTCCATATGTACAGGATCAAGTCTGTGTATTACCTGGAGTTGAAAGTCTATCTTGGTATGTTGGTCTGTGGTCATCGAGTGTCTGCAGCATTACGTACATGGTGAGAGCAAATAATCCAGCCAGGAAAATGTAGAATGCCAGATAAAACAACAGGATCAGACCTACAAGGACACACACACACATTCAAATCCAAACTCAATACAAATACATACTGTACTCAAGCTTTTGGAAACTTTCCATACTATACTATGTCACTGGAACTCTGTTCACACTTAGCATTGAAATATACATTTTTAATGTAATTCTTTTTCAAATCAATTTACCATGCATATTCATTTAAATCAATAAATACAGTTGCATGCAGCAATTAATGGCATTTAAGCCCCATAAACCCATGTTTTTCATGACATTAAGCATTTTAGATGACAGATAGGACAAAATGTCGACTGGACTAATGGTACAACAGCTCAGTTTTTTTTCCACCAAGTGGCCAAGTCCCTGCAAATTTGTGTTAAGCCCTTACATATATGTGACCCTGGACCACAAAACCAGTCTTAAGTCGCTTGGATATATTTTTAGCAATAGCTCAAAAAACATTGTATGGGTCAAAATTATCGTTAAGGATATTAATCATTAGGATATTAAGTAAAGATCATGTTCCATGAAGATATTTTTTAAATTTCCTACTGTAAATATATCAAACCTTAATTTTTGATTAGTAATATGCATTGCTAAGAACTTCATTTGGACAACTTTAAAGGCGATTTTCTCAGTATTTTGATTTTTTTGCACCCTCAGATTCCAGATTTCCAAATAGTTGTATCTCGGCCAAATATTGTCCTATCCTAACAAACCATACATCAATGGAAAGCTTATTTATTCAGATGATGTATAAATCTCAATTTCAAAAAATTGACCGTTATGACTGGTTTTGTGGTCCAGGGTCACATATGTACCAAAGTTTAAGTGATAAAAATTAATAAAAGTCTAGTTCACAAAAGCATGGTTTTATTCTTGATATAAATTAAATTAGAGATATACATTTGTGTATCTAGACCCAATGACTCTGAAATGGCACTTGAGTCTGTAACATACTGTTCAGGTATTATAAAACAAAACATGATTTCCTTCAATGTAGCTCCTGCTACACTTTATGTACTTTAATAAAAACACATGTGTTGGGAGCATTTGCAATAGGACATGCAGAATACTGTGACCATATAACTATTTATGACTATATCTTTTGCACTCTCTCACTCTCTCTCTTTCTCGCTCTTCTTCTGCTGATGTAACCGTGAAAAGATACAAGACTAGTAGGCCTAATCCTCTTAAATTCTCACCAGAGCTTCTCTCCTCATTCATACATTTATACATACACACTGACTGCAGCTCTGTATTACACACATTCATATTTTACACACCAATGTCCCTTACAGGAAGTCTGGTAATCCTGTCTGGTAAATGTCTGGTCTTTGGCAAAATTGAATTACTGCAGGGCAGATGTGGGTTAAGAGGGGTAAAAAAGGGGAGGGAGGTTGACAGAAGGAGAAGAAGAGGGCAGATTAAGTCAAAGGGGAATTTACAGGGAATATATGGTTTAGAAACACCAGAGTAGCCTATGTCTCTACAGACATTCATGCAGACACCCCCAACTACTCAACTAAACTAATCATTACACTCTAGATTATTATGTCTACACAAAGAGATCTCTATACAGACTGCAGCACTAGCATAAAAGGTTGATATTTAGCATACTTAGAAGAATGACAGAATGATGCCAGGCTTTTATTTATATAATGTCAGTACTGTAATATGGTATATATAATGTGGTACAGTATGGTTATAGAAGAGCCAGTCTGAAAAGTCTAACGTTAATGATGTTAATGTACTGATTGGTAATTTCCAGCACAATATTTTTTCCCTCAGATTTTCTCAGATAGACAGAAGATAAACAAACCTAGAAACTCTACTTAGGCAGTTGACATGCTGATTTTTCAGTGTCAAGATTTTAGACAGTAAATATACTGTAGACCGTATCAGGTAAAATGCATATTGTAGCTGCTGTAACTGGTTTTTAACATTTTAAACACCTTTTAGCTGTTCACAATACACTTAAACAGTATGCATATTAAACATACATTAGAAAATAATTTATACAATTATTATAATAAGAAGAAAGATTATATAGACTACCATTCAAAATGTTTCTGAAAGAAGACTTTTATGCTCAAAAGAGTGCATTAATTTGATCAGAATACAGTAAAAATATTGTAATATTTATAGTAATAGAGTAAAATATTATTACATTTAAAATGACTGGTTTCTATGTCAACTTCTGGCTGCTGAATAATGGCTGCTGAAAATTCAGCTTTGCCACCACAGGAATAAATTACACTTTAAATAAATGAATATGCTGATTTGAAGAAACATCTCTCATTAATGTTGAAAACAGTTGTGCTGCTGAAGATTTTTTGTGGAAAGCATGATAACCATGATTCTTTGATGAACATAAAGTTCAAAAGAACTATTTATTTGAAATAAAAAAAAATTGTAACATAAATGTCTTTATTTTCACCTTTGATCAGTTTAATGCATCCTTGCTAAATAAAAAAAGTATTAATTTCTTTAAAAAAAATGTTACTAACTCCAAACTTTCGAACAGTAGTGTACATATAGAATTTATATTATATATTAGAAAAATATTGCTTTAAATCATAGGCTAGCATGCAGGACATTGCTGGACTTACACTCCCTAAAATGTCATGTTAATTACATGAATGCTCTCAGGTAAAAAGCAAAGATTCAGTAACTCATCCATTTGCCCCTGTAATAAGAATGCACTTCAAAACATCTTCACCAACACAATACATAATTTAGGGTTGCTATTTTGAACAGATCAGGCTCTGTTGTTTCATAGAGAAAACTGAGTGCTGAAGGTGTATGCCTGAGGAGAGCTCATTAAGATACAGGACACCTGAGCTTCATGCAGCGAGGCCCCTGGGGACAGTCGATCAGGTTGCCCCAGACTGAAGGGAGGAGGGATACCGGATCTCTGCCCCCTGCTCTGCTGCATCCTGGAGCTCCCCGCAGAGACAGGCTTTCACTGATCAATAACAGCAGTGCAATGTGAGGTTACTCTACAGACTAGAAGTACACAGGAGTGTGTGCTAATATGCTTGGAGACTGGAGAGAGTGAAAAAGGATGCAATGCATGCGTAAGAGAGAAAGTGAGCAAAGATAAGGTAAGAATGTTGCTTAACTTGTGCAGCAAAGCCCAAATGTTCAAATCATTAAGCACTACTTAATTTCACAGCAGGGCAGCTTCAAAATAAGCACAGTCTCTCTCAGAATACCAAGTATGCATTATCAAACATTATTTGCTGAACTTGGTTATGGGGTTAAAACGTGGTACATCCTAATCAGCTGTGCTAGCTCTCCTCAGGATGTGTGTGTGTGGCGAACAGTGCACATGGTGAGACTGATACTCTGTCTGTGCTCTTCTGTTTCTTTATCTGTCTTTCATCATGATGTAAGTCACCCTCCCTCTTTCAACCCTCTAATTTGAACGCAACCTGAAAGAGAGGAGCAGAATGTGCCACTGTGATCTGCTATTTGCATATTCACATTCATTAATACACACATGAACTCCACAGGCAATCACTTTAGATCTCCACACATCCTGTCCTAAATCCATCAAACCTACCAGGCCACCATACTATCAAACACTTAAGAGGAACTCACACCTGTGATGTAGACAAAGGGAGCAGTCTGTCCACTGTTATCTCTGAATATCAATTTCCTGTTTTGTACTGGGTGCACATAAATATAGCCACAGTAACTATATACTTATTTCTTATTACTCACAGTCATTCATGGCTTAACTGAAACCCATGCTTTCAGAAGACTTCGTATTAATATTACTGTAATATTGTTGCAGTGTTTACAATGCCAACTGTTTAGTACCTTGGAAATGAATTTCATAGTGGAAGATTAAGGATAAAAAGTAAAATTAACTAATAATTTCAGTTCAAGCCAATATTTCACGTCCACATATTTATTTATGAGGTGTGCAGCTGTATAGTAAATGGGACAATATACATTTGAACAAGAATTCTGTGACTAAATTCAACAAGAGGATCTTAAAATCCAGTATATCGCCCAGCTAGAACCAAGTTTCCCAAGCAGGGTTTGAGAGCTGCTGAAAAAATCATAAAAATCGATAGATTTCTTTTATTTGTATTATTTACTTATTTGATTGGGATTTATTTTAAAAATTCTATTTAGTTTTGTTATTTGACATATTTTTATTTAATTTTACGTATTTTAATTTCACAAAGAAAAGTGCAGCATTTTGGGAAATATAAAAAGGACAACTTTTTCATTTATATTTGTCTTAAATCTCATTTTGTAAAAAAAATCGTTAGAAAATTGTATCGTGAAATCAGTATCATCAATATTGCATTATGAGTTGAGTGAATCTTTACATTCCTAAGATTCAATATTTTATTTGTTTACTTGAATGTCATGTCACCAATATCAGAAAACAGTGAACATGCAAATATGTTGTTAAATTGAAAAATTAACTTAAAATCTCAGGGAGTACTTCATGTAAACAATTTATGTCAAAGGGGTTTGGCTGAAAAAAAAAAAAGTTTGGGAATCTTCTGAACTAGAATATCTCCAGAATTTTCCTAGGTGGTCCATTTCCAGGAAGTATTAAGATCTTCTGCAGTATGAGTTATAAGTCTCAGGAGTGGTTTAGAGATTCAGTTCTGGCCTGTGCAAGAGTGATGTTTAACAACAAGATTGAACAGTCTCTATATGACTCTCCAGAGGGCTGAAGTCAGATCAGCTTTAAGTGCTTTTATCTGATATTATTGGCCCCTCTGTGCCCAGGGGTCCTGAAAGCAACCCTGGATATGTTTCGATAAGAGACACAGCTGTATGAATGCAGCTGCAGCTTCCACCGTCCTCCATAGGTCACTATTAAGCTCCAGTAATGAGGATGTAATTTGTTAAAGAATCTAAGCATACCCAGGTTCACTCTGGTTTGGGCACAGACAAAAATAGACTAATTAAGGAGTCTTAGAGAGCATGCTGGCTTAACTAGGCAGCTAGTCCTCAGAGCATCACACACACACACATTCTCAATGAGGTGCTACACACTTAGCTCCCTAGAGCAAAATGTGCTGGCACATGGAAGTCTTGAGGGCCGTGATCTAGCATTTCTTTCTCTCTCTCTCTCTCTCTCTCTCTCTCTCTCTCTCTCTCTCGCTCCTCACACACACACATACACACACACACACACACACACACACACACACACACACACACACACACACACTCTCTCTCTGTCTAACTATTCCATAGCAATGACAGCTGAATTGCAGATGCCTGAGGGGCAATGTCGGAGTGCCGTTTTAATGCCATCACACCCTGATTAAAAGACACATTCAGTTCCACAATTAATCTACGGCTATTGAAAAGGATACATCTTCCACATGATAGCCTCACCAAGGCAACCAATGAGCCTATTAGTAAAGGATTACATCTTACACTAATTCACAAACCCCCATGCGCACACTCAAAATGGCCCTCGGCTAGATTAAATCATCTCAATGTCACTGCAAAAGACAATTTGTAACACTATGCACTGGGCTAAAGGTGTTTTGTTGTTCAATTCTACTGTTAGAAAGATCTTTCACAATTATAAAGGCAGATTTCTTTGGGGTTTGAATATGTTCGGAAAGTTTAAACAGGTTAAACCAAATGGCAGAATGTATAAATTTTCACTGCACTGTATAAAAAGAAAGGCAGCTGATGTTGTTACAAACAATAAGTGATGGCATATCGGTGACTATATTTTTTGTTGTTTTTTTGACAGTTCCTAGATGTTATTCAATGATATGTTAATATATCACCCTATTTGGACTATTAAAATAAGTTTGCTGTGATAAAATGGACAGATAACGATACACAGATGGCACACTGGGGATTATTGCAGATCAAAATGGGCCTCTAGCAGCTGTCAGGGTAGCTCAGGGTAACACACATGACACTTAATTATTTTGAGCAAGGAAATTTTAGAATGCCCCTTTCCCCAATAATTAAAAAAAGCAATTAATTATTTTAACAAAAACTTAAGTATTTTTACTACTATATTTTACAACACATGAATTGCCTTGTTAAAAAATAATCTTTAAAATAACATCAATACAATAATTAATTCGTTGTACTTCTTAAAACATTTTAACATTTCACAGAAAAATAAAATTCTACTTTTTTACCATATAATAAGGTATAAACATATTTTTACTGCAGCACTTCTACATTCTTTTGCAGTTAAAATAATTGCTGTTCTTTACAGAAAGTGGTGCAGGGAATACTGATGTGTGCAAGCCTCTGTTCAGACATTCTGCTTGAAGCGCATTGTGTAGTTTAGCAGTAACTCGACGCATCACATTTCTCCACACAATAATCAGTGAGAACCTGATTACCTGGATCTATCAGTAGACCTCAAAATTTGCTCAAGATAAACACATTCTAAGGTTAATGTATTAAGTTTTAAAGCTGCGTAAACACGCGGCGAAGAAAAGGAAACGCATGTGACGCATTACAGCCCGGTGGCAAAAGCACGAACTGGAGTTTCAGCACCTAGGACAGCGATCCGTATCTTTAGTGAACTTCTCTGCACTAATAGACCGACACTCGCTGTGATAACGACTGCAGCTCACTACTTATTATAACTGCACAATTTTGCGACACACTAATTAGCATTTGTGCATGCGTGTAATCTTGTCAATTGTGTGCAAGACTTACCCCAACTGCTCGCGGTCCTACCGCAGAACTCTCGCGTCCTCGGGTTCCAGAAGAACTCCTTCCATGCGTTCTTCTTATCATCCTTTGCCATTTTCCTGAACGAAATAAATGTGCACTCGCAGAGTCAACGCCTCGGGGCTAACACTCTCTTTGAGAGTAATAAAGAGCTATTCAACCCTTGAATGGTGTGGATAAAGGGGTCAAACGATCTTTAAGGTCTCAATAGAAAGATTTTTTAAATAATAATAAAAAACTGGGTAAAAGCGATTCTCAAGGCACTCTGCCGAAACCTGAGGACTTAAGCCAGGACTGAGTGAGAGCAGACCTCGCTCTCTCTGTAACGCCCGGCGTTCTGCCCACCCACAAGTGCAGTGCTCATTCCGCAGAGAGAGAGAGAGCGAGCGAGCGAGAGAGAGAGAAAGAGAGAGAGCGGTGCAGCACTAATGTGCCGATACTGCAGTGGAACAAGCTCTGCCTGCTGAATGAATGCAATCTTTTAGTTCAAACAGCTCTAAATTAAAATGAATTTATTTAAATGGTATTTGCTATCTTCCCTGCAAGCACGGGGGCATTAATAGTTAATATGGCTATATTGTCAATGTTATTGATTACTTTGATAACTTGTCTTATGATGTCAGGATTCACTTAATATAGATTTAATTTTTAAAATGATAGCACATTAACGGCAACTTGACATTTTATGTTCAGTCACTTTAAATAATTCGATTTAATTGATTTAATTATGCTCAGTATTTAACTATTAATTTAATTTTAAAAACATTAAGAAAATTCGACTTTTTTTAAAAGTTCTACAAACATTCCGATTTTACAGTGCAGAATTAAGCTTATTAAGGGGGGAAAAAAAAAAACTACTGACAAGAGCCCAAGCAATCTATTTATCAAAATAACCATATACTTTATATTTCTGATGCTCTGGACAGCAGACAATTAAGCATACATTCAGCACTTCAGAAGTCCAGCTGTTAAAGAGCCAGTATACTTCTTAAACTTCCACTCAGCACTCAAATAATCTGTAGATGTTTCAGTGACTGGCAGTACTTGATAAATCTGTCACATCAAAATAGTCTAATAACATCTGTAATGATGTTCAAGACCGACGCAGGTCAGAGCCAACACTAGCCTATACAAAGGACCTGCAGAAAGAGAGAACTTGTACAGGAGCTGCATCTATGATACAGGACACCAGTGAATAACAAATCAGTCAACAGACAGTTTTTACAGCACCCTGTGTTCATGATGCTGACACATGAGCAAGAAACAACTGCCCACAGTGAAACTTGATACTGAAACAAGCCTAGAAGGTCAGGATGAAAAGAATAGTTTACCCAAAAATGTGTATAACTTGTGAATTATTGGATTACACTTGGATTAACTGTGGATTATTAGGATGTTTTTATCAGCTGTTTGGACTCTCATTCTGACGGCACCCATTTACTGCAAAGGATCCATTGGTGAAAAAGTGATGTAATCCTAAATTTTCTAAATCTGTTCCGATGAAGACACAAATTCATCTACATCTTGGATGGCCTGAGTGAGTAGATTTTTTAGCAATTTTTAATTTTTCAGTGAACTTTTGCTTGAAGAGAAAGGGAATGAATAAAACTACCACATTAGAATGTGAAAGCAGATATTCCACTGACTGTATGTTAAGCAGTCTGCAGGACAAGAAGACATTAAATCCATGTGCATTTGCAACGGATTCTTTCACTCCCTCACACACACACACACACACTGTTATTCGCACGTGATATTCATTTCATCATATAAAATTTATTTCATGACGATATCAATGCAAATATAGCACTACAGTGATTTCCAAGGTACACCGTATCTTACCATACCAATATATTATGGCACTCATAATATGGCCACCGTTTATGTAGACACGCAAAGCCAACAGTTTCTGTAAACTAGTTTACCCAATAATACTTAAGTTACCCTTTTCATCTTAATAAATTGCCACTAGATGATTATTTAGTATATCTGAAGTACAAACTGGGCACAATTTATATAGACTGGGACGTAGCCCAACCTTGAACTGAATGATTAAGGGAATCCGTCAAGAACTCCCAGCATGCATTGCACCAGCCCTCCTCTACTGTGGTCCCCCGTACTGTTTGATAAAGACTGTATTTCAAATGGCCACCCGGTTGGTGCAGTGAAACCCTGGTGTCATGGTGACAACATGTCAAACCCTTGGCAACATCACTGCAACGTTGCCAGGGTGAGAACTGTATAGGTTGGTGGTGCTAACTATTCGGAAAAATAACAGCAACTTTTAAATACAACCACAACAACAACAACTGAGAAACATTCAATTGCCAACAGTTACAAAAGGTTCCACTCCTAAAAACTCCATCACATGGTCTCAAACAAATCGAAGAGCACTCAAAAGAATGAAGAAGAAAAATAAAGCAACAGCAGTGAAGGATATGTAAGCAGTAGTAGAAATTCAATATAGCAGCAGAAGATATCCAAAAATATCCAAGTGATATTCCAGCGAACCGGGTGGAGTGTGTTGGTGAGGGCAGGGCCGTTTCTAGGCATAGGCGAGCTAGGCGGTCGCCTAGGGCGCCACCAGCTGAAGGGGCGCCAATGAGCGCACGTACTGGCACTTTTAGCAGGGTTGTGATAAAGAGCGGCACGGTCACCCTGAAATATGACTGCCGCACCCACTGGATCCCCCAACATTATTGGGCTAGAGTACTGTCAATCTGACGATGCCTGTATGCCACTAGATCAGAGTGCTGTCA